ATAGCCCTTATTTCCTGTGGCCCAATGTCCCAAGAGAGCTGCTTTACCAAGCTCTCACCTCCTGTCTCCTCAGCATGCCATCTGAAGTCTGCCCCATCAGGAGAGCAGCTCTCCTTGCTTCATCTACCACTCCTGGTCCCAAATCTCACAGCCACTCTCCTTCTCACCAGGCTGCTCTACAGCACTTGGCAGATGGGCTGCTTCCCCTCCTGGAATGCCCTCCCCCTCTCCTTCTGTGTTAGGGGATGCCACCTTATCCGATTGCTCCCTGCCTTTCTGCTCACCCAACTCCACCTCCTCCTTCAAGGCCTCCTCCCTTCCTCTCTCTCTTCTGTAGATGTCCAGGTCCTGGAGCTTCTGCTGTAGACTCTCTCTCTCTCCTTCCTTAGTGCTCCCCAGGCAGCCTCATGCTTTCCCAGGACACCTTAATCTCCTCCCTGAATCTCTTCTCCAAGCTTAGTATCCAGAGACCCAGGTGCCTTGAAGCATTGGGGATCCATGGGTGTCCCTCAAGCACCTCAAAGTCATCTTACCTAAAAGATTGATTCATCACTTCCTCTTCAACCCCAACGCCTGCTTAGCTAATGGCTTGCCATCCACCCAGATACAAACTTTGGTGTCAGCCTAGACCTCCCTCTTCCCTGCTACTTGCCACCTTGTACCTCTGCTGCTCTCAAACTCATCAGTTCCCCTCCAGGGCCATTCCCCTACCTTAGTCCAGACCCTCCGTATTTATTGTCCAAATTCAGGCAAAATTCTCTGCACTAGACACCCTGCTTCATTCCACCCTTACCACCCATTCTTCCCACTGCAGCCAGAGAATGTTCTGAAACATGCACCTGATGGGGTCTCACCCCTGTTTAAGATTCTTCCATGCTTCCATTCTTCACCCTTAAGATGAAGCCCCACCTCGTCAGTTAGTTTCACAGTCTAGCACTTGCTCACCACTCCAGCCATGTCCACACCTCCATCACTTACCCTGGCTTCTGCTGCTCTGGCCTGACACGACATGTCCTGCCCTGGCCTCACTGAGCCTTCGTTTCAGCCTGCTCACTGTTGCTCTTGGTGGCCTTTCTGCCCCCAAATGTCCCCTTTCTTCTTTGCTAACTATCCTTCAGGCAGGACTCACCTCCACCTCTACGTCCTGATGTTGGCCAGATCTCCAGTAAGGGTCCCCGGCTCTTCTCTGTCATGACCCTCTCTGTGCCCTGCTCTGTTAACTCATCTACCTTCCTCATTAGACGACAAGCTCTTAAGGGACCCCTGGGCATAGCACAGTAGCTGGCTCACTGAACACACTTTAATAAGTATTTCTTGTATAAATTAATAAATGCATAAAGGACATGTACTGTATACTACTTTTACCTAACACACAAAGACATGGAAACTAGCTTTGGGGTGTACATTTAACTTAGCTCTAATTTATAAAGAATAGAGGAAGGTGGTGATTTGAATGTTATAGGAGAATCTAGAAGTTAACATTGTGACTGAAAGTATGGGCTCGGGCACAGGATCCCTTGGTTCAATTTATAGCCCTCAGTTGCTTGTGGTATGAGTTTGGGCAAGTTATTAACCTCTCCATACCTCCATTTTTCTGTCTTTGAAATGATGATAATAATGGTACCTACCCCAAGGATTGTTGAGATGGTTAGATGAGTTCATGTTTGAAAACCTGTAGAAGGGAGGTATCATCACTCCTATTTTATAGATGAGGAAGCTGAGGCTCAGAGAGGTGATGTCCCCTACACAAAGTCACAGCTGGGAAGGAGCAGTGCAGGAATTTGAGCCCATCCCATGTCTATATATGCCTAGGGCTGGAGAAGAATAGGCATTATGCCTCCAAGCTCTGAGATTTCAGCCTTTTGGTGGAAATTTCTAGAAATATTGTACTCTTATGGCCTGAAAAAGATGCTTTCTGAAGAATCTGCTTTTGTGCCTGGCTGACAGTACATGCACTATATTGCTCAAGTAAATGAATCCCTCCAAAGGGCCCCATCTAGTCTCAACATTTCCCGCTCCCTGAACGGTATTGGGAGGTCTCGTCCTGCGTCCTTTTTTTGCCAGGGTGTTGGCAGCAAACTCTTCCTTATTCAGACCTTTCTTCTGTCCCAGCACTTTATGGGGGTGGGTCATTAAGAAAACTCTTTCCCAGGAAGAGCTGTGCCTTCTCCAAGTCCCCAGAGCTGAGTGCCCAGCCCCCATGCTCTCAAAGGCTGCCCTTGTGGGTTTCAAAACAACCCCACAGCCCTGCAGGCTGAGAACCTGGCCCCTAAGTTCCCTTTCTTTAGAAACCCAAAGTCCATGGTAGTTAGAGTCAGCGCTGCTAAAACCTAAAGAAAATAGTTTGAGGATGTTTTCAAATAGTGTCTGGTGAAACAAAAGAGCAATTCATTCTGCATAGCTTTTAGTAATCTGCTTCCCATTCTGGGAATTAGATTGTTCAATTAAGCGAGAGGGCGCTGAAGCAGCCTGCATGGCTCAAAAGTTTGCAGCATCCAGAATGTGGAAGAGAGGGGACCTGAGCCAGCCTACTGGCTGGTCTGCCCCTTCTTTCTCCCTGCCTCTGTGTCTTTTCCAGCTTTCAGTTTCCCCATTCAGAAAGCAACTACATCAATAAGAAGGCATGTGTGTGCATGCATCCCTGCTAGCTAAGAATCTTGTGTAAGTGTTTCTTTGAGGAAAAAACTCAGAGGCTGGAGTAGGGTAGGACAGAGCACACCCAGGTCCTTTCCGCCTGCAGTGGCACACTTTCCCGTTCTGGGTTGTCCCTTCTCACAGTGGGCTTTCAGGGCACTTTGCGGGGGCAGCTTGCAGATGATAGGTGTATGTTGTCTAGGAGGCTCTTAATCTGGAGACAAAGGGGTCAGTGATACCCTTGAAGTTCCTGCAGAATTTTGGGAGTGGGGAGGTGCATCAGGGTATTTCTTTGGGAAGAGAGTAGCTTCTCGAGGGATCCCTGACTCCCTCTCCAAGTCCTCTCCTGACTCCACCCCCCCAAAAACATAAAGGTTGAAAACTATTTTGGTGGAGTTGGTAAGTCATTCTTTCCTTGCCAGGAAACTCCTCTTCTGTGGTGCTCAGGCCTTACTGTGCTTGAGTAACCCTTGGGGAAATGTGGTAAAATGCAGCTTCCTAGGGACCATTCCTTAAAGATTAAGACTTCATTGGTTCTGCGATGGGGTGCAGGAATTTTTATCTTTTAGCAAGCACCCCGCAAGGATCGTGCTCTGGGACCCACTGCTCTTTTGTAATAATAGATACTCTTTGGGTTTCATTTAGTAAGGCCTGTAGTTTTAAAATGAATTAAAGCCAGAGGCTGCTAAGGCATAAGAAGCAAATAAAGTGATTGCTGTTATAACTCTGTGGCTATTTCTGTTCTTTCTAAAATAACTTGGACCTCTTTTGTGTCTGACTTATCCCGGTTAAGCACAAGAGGCATACCATGCATACCTTCTTATCATCAGTACCTTAGCATTGATATACTGCCTGGCACAAATAGTTGCTCAATAAATGCGTATTTATGTGGATGTTCCTACTTCTGGCTATAGGTCTGGGAGCTGGTTTCCTTTTGAGTAAATTCATGGCCGCACAGAGCCCAATTTTGTTTGGGGGCCTGCCTGATTTCTCCTTGGGGGTTGGGGCTGGAAGGAGCCTGCAGACTAGTGCTAATTGGTGTCATTGAGTAATTAATGCAGAATCAGGCCCCAGGCGATTCCCAGGGAGACAGACACTGAGGGAGGCTTTCATGCTTGGTGGGGTGGGAGCTGCCTTCTCAAAGGACGTTCCCAGAGCACTGAGGCGACTGGCGTGGTCTGGTGGGGGTGGTTTGGCAGCCGGGATGGGGTTTGTGGAGCAAGTTTGGAAGGGGTTTGTGTTGGTGCCATGGTTCTGCACAATATGGAGCGTGGCGAGTTTGACTTTAAAGAAACACAAACCCCAGGAGTGGGTTCTTGGAGCCAGACCTGTGTCAACTCTGAAGAATGGTTGGGTTCTGAGGGAGAGCCATGGCTGGAAGCATTGCCTCGGTGCACCTAGGGGTCTTCTCTCTCCTGTGGCCTGGGCCCTCTGGGACAACCCTATCCCTTGGCATGCTACTCAAGGCTCCTGATGACACCTCTGTTTACTTTTTCTGCTTTTCCCTCTGATCCCTGTGTTCCAGCATTCCCCAAGTATCCCATGCTTGTTTTTTGGCCTTTGCTTATGCCATTCCCTCAACCTAAAATATCCTTGACCCCTCTCTCTCCTGGCTAAATTCCATCATTTTTCACAGTAGCCTCAAATATCACTTCTTTCAGGAAGTTTTCCCTGGCCCCCTGTAGCAGTCAAGATAAGTTGGTTTATGTTACAGTAACAAACACCTCCAAAGATCTCAGTAGCTTAAAGCAATAGAGTTCATTTCTCGCTCACACAACACTCTGACACAGAGTGGCAGGAGGGTTCAGGTAGTCACTCAGGAGCTCAGGCTTCCAGAGGCTCATCTGGACATATGCTTCTGTCATGACAGCAACAGTAGGGGAAAGGGGACTTGGTGAACCACACCACCTGGCTCTGAAAGCTTCTGTCTGAAGTGACATAGGTGCCATTGACCAAAGCAAGTCCAGTGGCTACCCTTGAGTTCAGCAGGCCAGGGTGTGTGATGTCCCCTGAGGGAGGGACCTGAGTGTTTATGGACTGTCTGTGGTCTCCCAGTACCCTAAGGTAGGTTAGGAGCATCTTAGTCAAACCAAAGGCCCTGTGCTATTCCCATCATAGCCTTACCATCTTGCACCATAAACCATCTGCTAACTGGGCATCCATGAAGGCAGGGAGCTGGGTATTGCTCCTCTGAGGCTCCCATACCCAGCCCTGGGTTTGGCTCAGAAGATGACTGGGTTAATGGTGGGTCGTGGGTAAAGGAATGAGCCAGCTGACCCTTCCCCTCTGTAGCACTAGTTTTGTTCAAGCTTTGCTTGAAGTGGACCATCTCCAGCCCCTGTGACTCATGGCCCTTTCTTCTGTAGGCGCCGGGTCCTGGCCATCTCAGATGGGATTGAGCACATTGGGAATCTCCGCTGGGAGCTGGCCTTGTGTCTTCTGGCAGCCTGGACCATCTGCTACTTCTGTATCTGGAAGGGGACCAAGTCCACAGGAAAGGTAAGAGGTGCATCTTCAAGCAACTAGTGTGCGCAGGGGAGAGTGCAGGTTGTCCTATGTCAGTTCACAGGTGACCCAGAGAGTGCCAAGGAGTTCACATTGCAAAGGCCAGTTCTTAAGCTGGGAGGTAGGAGGAGCACTGAATAGGGAGTCCACTAAGAAGCCCAGAACTAGTATCCCACTTATTTGTCACAGAGCTCAGGGCTATTCACTTCCACCTTCAGAGCCTCCGTTTGCTAATTTGTGAAATAACAAAGCCTTATCCTATCTCCTTATTGAGTTGAGCACCACACATGGTAAGGGAAGTGAAAATGCTTTGAAAACTAGGAAATGCTCAATTACTACCATACAGTTTTTTTGTAATTAAGACATGCGCTGTAGGTGTGTGCTAGTGCAGGCAAAGCTGGCTGCCTCCACTCACAGACCCCAAGATGCCACCTGCCTGTGATCTGTGGCGGTGTAGAGGGAAGAGCAGACACTTCCACCGTGTTACTTTGCTGTGTCATCTGCACCACTTGGCCTCCAGGGTTGGTGCCTCTTCAGTGAAGAGAAATGGGAGAGACAGTGGCTTTTAACTGCCCTGTCCTGAAAGTTACTGTGCCTGTTCCAGTCATTGCTGCTGGCCAGAACCTGAGGCATAGCCTGACCTAATACAAGGAAGGCTGGGAAATGTAGGGCAACACAGGGACATCCAGTGAGCGCAGCCATCTGTGCCGCAAGGGTAAGTAGAAATTATAAACATGTAGCTCATGGCCAGGTCCAGCCCACTCATGTGTTTTCTTTTATTTTTAAAGGAAAAAAATTAGTTTCCAACATTTAGAAATTAGGAAAATTCATATGGAAAAAAGACATAGGATTCTGGCATTCCCAGGGAAAATTGAAATATTTGGCAATACTGAACTTGTATACCTACATGGCAGAATGTGGCTGAGCTAGCAGCAGCTACATCCTTCCAAGGATACATGGTTGACCACAGTTCCTACCATTCCCTGTTACCCCCGATCCTGTGGCTGAGCATCAATGCCATTAGTTTCCTCCTTTTTGCCACTCATTTTTTTCTTGAGGAAAATGAAGTTTTTCTTATATGTGGGTCACCCTGACCAACCACATCACTGGTTACCTGCCTGCTTCTGGAAGGCAGCTGCTCATAAAGTTGATTGTAAGCTACTGTCTGGATAAAAAAAACCTCTGGGAAAATAGGAACTTGTCAACCCTCGGCCCTTTTACAAAAGTTGGCCCCCTGAGCTCCCCCAGAGGTGGGTGGCCTATGGGAGGGGACTTAGGAGAGCACAGCAGAGATGTCAACAAGCCCCATGCTATGGCCTGTAAGGAAGCTGAGGCCCAAGTAGAACAGAGACTCATGTCTCTTCAGCCAAGATGATTTTGCTGATCTTGGCTTTCTCTGTTTTGTATCATAAAGACAATAGGATTTTTGTGGTTTTTCCAATATAAAAATCATTGCATTCTTAATCTATTTCTTCAGACTGCATACACATTGCTCCTGTCCCCCTCCATGCTGGCTTTTCTGACTAAGGGGGAGAATGACTGGAGGGGTTAAGAACCAGGGTCTGGTGTCAGGATGCACATCTCAGGTGTGTCACTCACTAGCTGTGACCTTGGGCACATCACTTAATGTCTCTTCTGCAAAACAGGGATTGATAACAGCTCACTGTAAGGGGTGATTGCCAGAAGGAAATGCAAGAATGCATGTTCAGTGCTTAGCAGGGTGTGTAAATGCTGAATAATTGTGATTTTTGAAAATCTTGTTATAAAGGTAAAATTTATTTATTCAAGAAATAGTTTCCAAGTATCTACTCTGTACCTAGCATTATTCAGTGGGTATCTAAAGATGAATGAAACACAGCCTCTGTCTTACTCAGCTAACAGTGATGGTATACTGAGAACAATAAGAAGAAGAGAGGAGGTGTCATGATTGGTATTATTATTGCTTCCTCTATGACCACACAGCCTTGGGAGTTGATGCAGAGACCAGTGGGGCTTGGCTAGGTGGTGGTGTATGTGGTTGTGGGGGGAGAGAGGGAGAGAGGCTGCTTGGACAAGATTTTGCACATGCATTGAGTGTGTTGTCCATGCACATGTGTGGACTTGGCTCAGGACATGGGCCATGTATTAATTTGGTTTCACTTAGCCCTCAGGAGAGAGCTCAGTCCTACAGTGGGACTACTTGCCATTGCCTGGGCCCTCGAGTCTATGCGTTAGAGAATTTTTATTTTTTGTCAGAGAATTCTAATGCAGGAACAGAGTTTTAAGGAAGGACTGGCAGGCTACATTCTTGGAGATTTCAGAAGAGGCATATGGGGAGGGAGGGACTATTTCTTCATGGCCTTCTGCTCACTCCACACCCTGCCAGGGGCTTTTCATCTACAATAGCACATGAAATCCCATGAACTGGGGAGATGTTGCCTCCATTTTATGGGTGGAGACCCTGAGACTGAGAGGCTGAGTAGCCTGGCCAGAGTTACATGGCAACTTTGTACCTCAATACTGACCCACTCTGCCTATCCATGGACTCAAAATTTAGAAACTGGTATGTTGATAGATGATCTTTCACCAACCTCTCTGAGTCTACTTGTTCTCATCTCTAGTATAAATGGTAATGAAAGCAGTAGTAATAATACAATATTTATAAGTAGTAATAGGTAATAGTTATTGAGCACTTCACATGCCCATTGCATTCAAACCTTGAAACGGCCCCATGAGACAGGGTCCAGCATTATCTCCACTTTCCATATGAGAAAACTAAGGCTTGAAAGGTTTAAATAACTTTCTCTGGGACCCTCAGGTAGGAAGATAAGGGCTGAGATTAACCCCAGGCCGTAGTGATCACATAGCCTGTGCTCTGGACGAGGGTGCCATCATGCCTGTCATCTGTGACATGGGGACAATGACAATTTTCTTACAAGCTGGTTTTGAAGAGGCATTTAATGAGATAGCATAGTACCTTAGTAGGTTCTAAGTGCTTGTTTGTTGCAGCTGGATCTAAATGTGCTTTTAAGGCAAATACTGAAGTCAAATAAGCCAATTAAGCATTTTCCTAAAGGCTAAGTTTTAAAGGCTCTTGCCATGTTTCATACCCAAGACCAGGGTTAGCATCCAGGATGAGATGTGGTTTGCTGGCCCTGAGAGATTCCCTAGAGGCCATATGATCCACCCTCACCCTTATTTGATAGATGAGGAAACTGAGGCTCAGAGAGGGGAAGGAACTTGTCTGAAGCTACGCAGAGAGTATCAAGTGTTGGGTCAGGAACTAGAGCCTGGTGGCCCAGTTCTCCAGCTACTTACAAATGACAAGGTTCTGTGGGTCAAATCTGATAGTTTTGGGAGACCAGGCATCCCTGAATCAGCACATAGGCTCTTTAAGAGAGGGTCTGATGCCTTTTTTACTATTTCTCACCTCACCTTGTAAATGAGCCCAGTGTCCAAAGGTTTTTTTGAGTTCTGTACAAAAACAGCTAAAAATAAACATGGGGTCATCTGAGTCTTCCTGAGAGGACAGAGGTCACCCTGCCTCTTGCTTGCTGGACCCTGGCCAGAGCCACTTTCATGAAGCTGTTCAAGGAAGGAAAACTCTACCTTTCCACTAAGTTCCAGCCCACTTCCTATATTCAAACCTCAGCAGAAATATCTGAAAGTTTATTAGTTCGAGAAATAGTTCCTAACCTCCTTCTTTCTCCAGGACAAAAACTGTAACCCCAACTTTAACTCAATTCAAAGAGCATGTCCCTGGCTCCTATAGGCACATGTTTGAGGCTCAGCCTTTTGGCAGGTGGTTGTCTAAGTGGGGTTTTGGGCTCAGGTCACAAATAAGTAGATCACTTGTGAGGCTGTGACAAGGCCACAGGTGAAGAAGGTCTGGCAGTGCTCTCCAGGGGCCCTGCAGGGAGTGAATTGGCCCAGAGGCTGCCCTGCCTTTAGCATCTCCTCCAGAGACAGTCTCGGCAGGTGTCTGTCAGCTCCATCCTCTCCTGTGCCCTCTTCAAGGAGTTTACAATCTTCTGATGCCACAGAGGCTGGCATTCAGGATCTCCCCAGGGTCTCCTACTCTTAGAAGAAGCTCCTCTGAGCTAGAGAGATACCAACTGGGGGCCAGCTTCAGTATATAGCAAGGTTCCTGTAGCTGTTGCTTAATAAATATTTGTAGAATGGCTGAATTCCACTTGCGCCTGGGCTCCCAACAATATGCTGGAATACAATGGAGAGGACAGTTAACAGTCTTGTCTCCCGCACAGCATGCAGCCTAGTAGAGCAGACACACACAGATAGGCAATTGTAATTCAGTGTATAAATGTCAGTGTGAAACAATAGAACAGTTAGAGAATGAGATCCTAGGAAGGTGCGGATTCTAATGGCTGAGAACTGGCTTTCAAATATTAGACTTGTAACATGTCAGGGCTGGGTAGCACCTTGGTTTTTAAGTCTAAGCCCTATTTTACAAATAAGGAAGCGGAAGCCCAGAGAGATTGCAAAGTTTGCCCAAGGCCACCCTGCTTGGAAGGAACAGAGCTGGGATTCAAACCTGGGTCTCTCTACCTTCCCTAAGGCTGGTTCCTCATCTGTACTAATACCTCCAGCGGGAGTTCATGTATAGGTTTCATGTGAGCACGTTGATTGTAGTTCTGAACACATAGTAGGTGGCTCAGAAAGCCATTTATTTCCCTGCCCCAGTGCAGTGGCTTCAGCTTTAGCTCTACATAGTTCTTATTTCTCTCCTTAGACACTTAGAAATTTCAGACATCTGGATTAAAAAAATGCATAAAAACTTTTCTTGATTGTATAATAAGTCCCAAATAAATGGAGGACTCTGGAAATACTTGCTTTCTTAAGAGGAAACATTCAGGCTGTTTGTAACTGGTCATCCTCTGGATGATAAACAGTTTCACCCTGTATAATTGGAAAACAAATAATTGAAATCAAGTAACCTGAGAGAGCATGAGGACATCTGTGATTTTCCTGTGTCCTTGAGTTGTTTGTTTTAAAAG